ATTCATTGAGTCATGTGCCATGTGTGCAGTAGCCTATCACATATGACTTTTTGCAAGGAAACTTTTTGCATGGGTTTTCAAAGGTTAATAGTCCAAACTAACCAGCATCTGACCTGCACAAGCACATGTCTTGCTATTCCTACTATTTATAGGTTTTCACTCAACTGCAATTATAAAATTGATGAATATTTGAAAAACTGTGTTCTGATTAGCTGGAATTTGATAAATCTTGTCTAGCTATGTGTGAAAATATATCACTACATTTACTCACAAAGATATCAATATCCCTTCATGAATAAAAATGATATTTTTCAAAGCCTTAAGATATTCTTTCATTTTTCAGTATTATATTCACAGATTCATAGAATATCATGTCAAAATAAAAACAGGATTTTGAAACCACGAATAGATATCCACTGTATCTCTTTAGATATATATTACGAGGTTATATAATGGTTGATTCTGTATATCGTGTTTATACTCAAGTGAGTATATGATATATTCACGAGTGACTGAAGGGAACGAGTGAATATATCATATACTCACGAGAGTATAACGATATACAGAATCAACCATTATATGATCTTATTATCCCACCCTTATCCTTAATCAATAAAAGGTTAATCTAAATTCAGCAGTTGTATATCAAGTCGAAGAGTTGTATACGCTGTCCAGGAGTTGTATACGCTATCCAGGAGTTGTATATCGTTCTCAAGAGTTGTATACGATGAGTGTTGGTTTTATATTGCAGTTATACAATGCTTTTATACAATCATATAAAGCACTTAGGGTGGGATAAAAATAGATATACACTGATACAGGGTGTGCCAAAAAAATTTGCAACTTTTTTAGAAGGCAAAAAAAGTATCATAACATCATGGTATTGACATGAAATCTTTTTTACAGAAACTTAAGGATAGGCATATTTTACCATTTAAATACTTTAGCTAATACTGACTTTAATTTTTATTGTCAGATCTTTGAATATTAATGGCAAATTGTTCATGTGTCCAAGATTTAACGATTTTCTATAATTTTATGTGATCATCAATAGGCCTAGCACATTTATCATGTTCACTAAATCTGCCACAATCTTTGTTAAGTGGTTATTAATCAGGACTAATGAATCAAGGGGTATTCTCCTCCAGATATTCCATAGCGACTTTTGCCCTATGGCTAGTTGGAGCATTATCCTGCTGGAATAAGTAATCACCTGGGGTTGAAAGAGCCCTCATTCTTGACAGATGTCCCTTTTGAAGAATATAAGTCCTGATGAATTGTCACCCAATACACCAGATGCCAACCTCTGTGACTATCATACATGGGGGCACCTGGAGCAATGTATTGTAGTTAATGGTTATACCCCACAAACTATTGATCAACTAAAAGAAGTTTGCAGGATAAGTGGAGAGAACAACCACAATAATTGCTGGATCACACCATTGACCAGTTCGGTCCTCGTCACCATGTGATTGTGAAGGTGAAGGCGGATGCATAGAACATTTGTTTAATAAATGATTTATACAGTATAAGAACTAGATAACGGCAACTCCGCGGAGTAGCAAATCCCAACGAACATAATATCAATTACCGAATTCCAATCAAAATATTATACTCATTACTTTGGTTAAAATTGAAAAAATTAGATTTTAGAATTGCGAATTCCTGCAAAGCAGCCATTTTGAATTTTCTGAGGTACAAATCTGAAAAATAATACCATAATTGTGGTCTACTTCAAAATTCCTTCAATTTGAGTATAATATAGCCATACTTGAAGGGATCCAAAAATTTTTGCGAAATCGTACATTAGATGGCCATTTTGAATTTTACGAGGCTGGAATCAGAAAAAAGATACAATATTTGCAATCTACTCTTAATTCATGTAATTGCCTTTCATTTGAGTATAATAAAGCTAGGCTATACTTCAGAAAGATCTAAAAATTAGCGAAAATTTCTGTTTTCCTGACCCCCCATACACGGCCCCTGAGGGTCAGGATGAAAAACACGGAATACGAGGCCCGATCAGAAAGTAAGTAACCAACTGCTCTTATTTCTTCATACTTTATTCAATCACATTGAAATTTTCACAGATGATGTAGAAAATATTAACCTAGCTATTAAAGAAGACCAAGGACAATGGGTTAGCGTCAATTCCATTGTTATTGCTGTTGCTATGGTGACAATTGTTTTGGGTAGGTGGGGCACCCTGTTTTAAGTGGCGTTTGAAGATAATTTGTAGAGTTTTCTACATGTTGTAATACCTCCAAATATATCAAATTCAAATGTAAGACTACATTTTAACACATAGTCCTTCAAAATAATCACTACCAAAGTCAATGCAGTTGAGGCAATGTTTCACTCCGTCCTTAAAGAAGTGCAACATGGCACCATTCAATGACTGCAAACTGCTATTGAAAGCTCTAATGATGGCCTTATTGCTGTCCAGACGGACAACATCTTTGCATTTGGAAAGAATTTAGTCATGTGGGGCCAGGTCTCGGGAATAGTGAGCCTGGGGTAGTTGTGTGGCCATGGAAAAGGCTTAATCTACTGTATCTTCGGTAATGTTGGCTCTGTGGAGGTGGACCATTGTCATCATGCCAGCAAAATCCCCCTTCAACCACATTTGACTGGATTGAAACTGTGCCTAAATCATGACCATCATTATGACAGATATACCCTTGATATCTTTGTGTCAATGACTTATAAATGAGACAATGGAGTGTAATTACCATTGTGATAATACATAAGACAAATTATTCAGTCTTGCATGAAAAATGTTAGGTCAATTTGGAGGAATACAGCATATAAAAAACTCTACAAACCATCTTCCAAAGCCGCTTACAAAAGGGTGCCCCGCCTACCCAAAACAATCATCACCATAGCAACAGCCATAACATAGCATTGACACTAACCCATTGTTCTTGGTCTTTTTTAATAGGTTAATATTTTCTACATCATCTGTGAAAATTTCAATGTGATTGAATGAAGTATGAAAAAATGAGAGCAGTTGGTTACTTACTTTCTGATCGGGCCTCGTATATGTGAAATAGATAAATGTTGTGAATATACTACCAAAATTTCAAACAATAATATTAATTACTTTGGTTTAGAATGAAAAATTTATGATTTTTGCGAAAAAGTCCCGTCATTTTTAAAGCAGCGGCCATCTTGAAATTTTTTTTTACTATTCACCACTATACATCTTTCCACTAGATATGAAGAAAAAATCTGTCTACTAGTATTTGAGTTATCTTCCGGACGGACGGACGGACTGACAGACGGACGGAGGGGTTCACTATATCACTACCGAACTTCGTTCGTTGGGATAATAATACCATAGTGACTAGAGACTGATAAAATTAGTACTGTGGGTACTGGGCTCACTTGGTGACAGAAAATAAAAAAAATGGATATAATTTTTTGCTGATTTTTTGTAACAAAATTATTTCAAGCCACTTGCCACTATTTTGGACTGACTGAGAGACAGATGGACAAATCGATGTTAAGTAAAATGGCTGAAAAAAACGGATATAATTTTTTGCCAATTATTTGTAACAAAATTATTTCATACAACTACCCTTTATAGTGACATGGCTTTTTGCAATGCAAGACACCTGAAATTATTTGTAAAGCTATGAAATGGGCCAAAATTGAATTTCGCGAGACATAAATGGCGACCATTTTGAAATCAGGCAAGCTTTTGAACCAGGAGTCGTAGGGGAGTTTTTTGTATTGATGTTGAACAAAAATAACTTGAAACTGGAATCCTATCGACAGAGGTTTTAAGCAAATGGTCCAAAAGAGGATTTCGCGAGACAGATGGACAAATCAATGTTAACTAAATTAAAATGGCTGAAAAAAAAAAAAACGGATATTATATTTTGTAACAAAATTATTTCATACAACTACTCTTTACAGTGACATGGCTTTTTACAATGCAGGACAGCTTAAATTATTTGTAAAGCTAGGAAATGGGAAAAAAGTGAATTTCGCGAAACAAGAATGGCGACCATTTTGAAAATAGGCAAGCTTTTGGACCAAGAGTCATAGGAGTTTTTTGTATTGATGTTGAACAAAATTAACTTAAAACGGGAATCCTATCGACAGAGGGTTTAAGGCAAATGGTCCAAAAGTTGATTTTGCGAGACAGATGGACAAATCAATATTAACTAAAATGGCTGAAAATAAAAAATGGATATAATTTTTCGCTGATTTTTTGTAACAAAATTATTTCATATATCTACAAAAGTGGCGACCATTTTGAAAAAAGGCGAGCTTTTGAACCAGGAGTCATAGGGGAATTTTCTGTATTGATGTTTTAAAACGTGCCACTGTTATTGACGGAAAGTGGATATCGCGAGTCAGAAAGACAAATCAATGTTAACTAAAATGGCTGAAAAATAAAAAATGGATATAATTTTTCGCTGATTTTTTGTAACAAAATTATTTCATATATCTACCCTTTACATTGACATGGATTTTTACAATGTAAGACACCTGAAATTATTTGTAAACCTAGGAAATGGGTCAAAAGTGAATTTCGTGAGACAAAAGTGGCGACCATTTTGAAAAAAGGCGAGCTTTTGAACCAGGAGTCATAGGGGAATTTTCTGTATTGATGTTGAACAGAAATAACTTAAAACAGGAATCCTATCAACAGAGGTTTTAAAACGTGCCACTATTGTTGACGGATGGACGGACATCTTGTAATATATAGATACAGATGGACAGACAGACAGTCAGACGGACAAGTGAGTGATTGCAAAAGCTCACCATGTGAGCTAAAAAACCTGTACTGAACATTGGTTAAACAGTATCAAAGATTGTAGCAGATTTAGTTAACATATTATGCATGTGTTGGTCACATAAAATCATAGAAAATTTTCTAGGAAAAATGGTTAATCTTGGACATATGAACAATTTAGAATTAATATTGAAACATCTGACAAAAAAATTTGAAGTCAGTATTAGCTTAAGTATTTGAGTGGTAAAATATGCCTATCCTTAAGTTTCTGCAATTTTATTTTTTTATGTCAATACCATAATGTTGTTATACTTTTCTAGCATTCTAAAAAAGTTGCACATTTTTTTGGCACACCCTGTATATATGCTAACTGTCTTCTGAGATGTCAGTTCTCCTTGATTATTGATAAAAGTTTTTAATTGTTTTCTATTGAAGAAGTATATTTTGCCGACCAAGAAATGCTACATGTATATTCTCTTGCACCACATTTGCTCCGAATCCTCTGATCAACAGGTTTCTAAGTTTTGGAGAATCGGTTCCAGTTATTATCATCTATAGTCTTTAGGCATACTCCTTTGTTGTACACACCTTTCCTCACACATTGAGACCAAAATTCTTTTGTTTAGATTTCTGCCAATTTCTTTCTTGCTTCTAAAATATAAATATAAACTCACTCAGGCATTAAATACAAGTATTAAGGTTATTGTGTACTTTTGGTCATTTTGATCCAATCCTCATAGAGTCGCATGTTACTTTTCAAATATGAACTCCTCCTTCCCCATATAGTCTATATATGATTTTAATGTACAGCTCCAATACTCATAAATAATAACTAAAAGATCCAGATACAATTTACATGACTTTATTAACCGGAAGTAATGGCCTCGTGCGCCTTTTAACAGTATGCGCATTCGTGCATATATAATTAACCTTAAGGTAGGCAGAGCAGATACTAGAACATCACATCTCTGTTTTTAAACATGTAACGATCTCAAACCGATTTCGAGATATCAGTGTCCGAAAACGAGGTCCAAAAAAAAGTTCTCCGAATCAAATGTCCAGGATATTAGTCTTATAGGAAATTTTCTCAGGATTCCGAATCTGGAAACCAAATTCGAATCAGACTTCCGGTTTGGAAGTTATGGCGCTAAATTTGGTGCCCATGTTAAGTCAATGGGAAAAAAGATTTTTTTGAAGTGAAAAATACGAAATATAGATTGAGTTCAGCTAAATATAATGAAAGCTTTTAAAAGAATGGGACCTCAAAAGCCATCTAGCTTCAAAATTTGGACACCAAAATGCCTAGGTCAAAATCTAGGTCAAATTCAAAGTTTTTCCGTATTTTTGCTATTCTCACACTATAGATTAATTATATTCTTCGAAATTTTGTATGCATGTAGCCAAGAGTGTGCTAATAGTGTTAGCCTTTTGCCGTCAGAAAGTATTTTGACCCACTTTTGAGATATGGTGTCCGAAAAGTAGGTCAAAATAATTTTTTTTCCAAATTTAACATTTGAGTTATGAATTAAGTATAGAATTTTCTCAGGAATCAGAATCTGCAAACCAAATTTCGATCCGACTTCCGGTCCGGAACTTATTACATTTTGAAAGCTCAAAAATCGCTAAATTTGGTGCCCCATGTTATGTCAATGGGAAAAAAAAGATTTTTTTGAAGTGTTTAATACGAGATATAGACTAAGTACAGCTTAAAATAATGAAAGCCTATGAAAGAAGGGGACCTCCAAGGCTACCTAACTTCAGAATTTGGACACCAAAATCCCTAGGTCAAAATCGAGGTCAAATTCATAGTTTATCCTTATTTTTCCGATTCTGACACTACACTTTAATTATATTCTTCGAAATTGTGTACATAAGAAGCCAAGAGTGTGCTAATAGTGTTAGCCTTTTGCCGTCAGAAAGTATTTTGACCCACTTTTTAGATATGGTGTCCGAAAAGTAGGTCAAAATAATTTTTTTCCAAATTTAACATATGAGTTATGAATTAAAGGTAGAATTCTGTCAGGAATCCGAATCTGCAAACCAAATTTCGATCCGACTTCCGGTTTGGAAGTTATGGCATGTCCGAAACGTAGGTCAAAATAAAAAGTTTCCAAATTTAACGTATGAGTTTTAAGTGTAAAATACGAGATATAGACTAAGTACAGCTAAACATAATGGAAGCCCATAAAAGAAGGGGACCTCAAAACCTTTTAATCTTGAAAGTTTGGACAACAAAATGCCTAGGTCAAAATCTAGGTCAAATTCAAAGTTTTTCCTTATTTTTGCGATTCTGACACTACACTTCAATTATATTCTTCGAAATTGTGTATACATATAGCAAAGAGTGTGCTAATAGCGTTAGCCTTTTGCCGTCAGAAAGTATTTTGACTCACTTTTGAGAGTACCAGGTAACTATCGTGGCATATTTATTTCGGAATGCTTATCGAAAATTTTCTCCAATGTGCTATATAATCGCCTTTATGCATTTGTCAAATCAAATAATATCATTTCACAAAACCAGGCAGGTTTTATGAAGAAAGCAAGAACGACCGACCATATATTTATAATTCGGTCTCTTATTGACAAACATGTTCATCAAAATAAAAGTAATTTTTATGCCTGCTTTGTGGATCTAAAGAAGGCATTTGATTCGATATGGCACACAGGCCTTATGTATAAGTTACAAAAGTCAGGAATTAAAGGGCACTTCTAGTTCTACAAAATCATTAAAACCATGTATGAAAATGTCACGGCGTGTGTAAAACTTAATCACTCAACTTATACGGAATCATTTTCATGTGCTAGGGGTGTAAAACAAGGAGACTCGCTCAGTCCATTATTATTTAACATATATATAAATGATATTATAAAAAAGTTTGATAATGTTGGGAAATCTCCGTTCCTTGAAACTCAACATGTTAGCAGTTTGCTATTTGCAGACGATTTAGTCATATTTGATACTAGTAAAGAAGGAATGCAGCTAAAACTAAACACTCTTGAATCCTTCTGTGATGACTGGAAACTTGAAATTAACATTAGTTAGCCAGCGCCAGCCTTTTATCGAGTCAGCAGCACTCTAGTAATCGCCGGTATAGGTCAGCAGTCATAGGTCAAAGACAAATCACAAGAAGTGCTGTTACCTGGGTTTGAACCCAAGACCTCTACTTTTCAGCATGAAGCCAGACTTCCTGCTTTTCAGACCAATGCCTTAACCACTAGGCCAACCCGGCGAAGACAATTGAGTTCATTAAATTATAATTCCATAGATATCATATTTAATCCTGTCAACACAATAATGGTATTAATTGGCATGATATGTAGTCAGAGACGGTTTAAAAAGTTGTTTAGTATAGATAGTATTAGGAAAAATCCTAACTCAAAGTTTTTGTTTTCTCGCAATCCAGAGCAAACCACTCGCCGGGCAAGCATTCTTTAAAAACGTGAAGTTTTCACCATGTTGAGCAGTTTTGAAAATTGTCCAATTTGAACCATCGCCTTGTATATTTCTGTAACTGCCCCCCCCCCTTGACACTCGAGTGTAAGAATCCTTTCCACACTGTCAATGGTTTTACAAAATAGTTCATGTCAGGAAGGGGGAGGGGTGAGTGTGGAGAACAATCACTGACTGCGATTTGTATGATTGAACATTATACACTTATCATAGATTCGTAAAGAATAGTTTTAAAATAAACAGCTTGTTTTATGTTATGATTGGAGTGATGTATGCATAGAAGAATGACACTGGTTTTGAAATATCTTAATTATCCCATTGAATGAAGCCATCCGTCCCTCTGTCCATTCTTAACTCATACTAGTGGACTGATTTGATTTAAAGGAGAAGTCTCGGTGTAGAACGTGTATACACTAATGGGAACGAATTTTACTCATTTCTATTTAGGATTCGTTCATATACTAGCGGGGCTTTAGAGCATTTACAAACGCACGAATTGTATTGTTTTAAGGCAACTTTTATGACATATAATGTATTTAAAGCTGATTAATTTTAGATTATATTCCGTTCAATTTTACAAACCAGAACAACGGCAACGCCAAAGCGTAGCGAATCCCATCGAACAGAAATGGCTGGCATTTTTACAAACGAATAGCAAATATCATAAAACAACACGCCAGAAAGGCCACCATTTTCAAAATGGTTGCTCACTAGCCAAGTTGTCATCAGAAGAAATAATATGCTTTTAAGTAGCCACCTCTAAAATTTTTGAAAAATCGCACACGTACTTGTAAAATAACACACATAAAAATGGTGGCCATTTTTCAAAATTGCCGAATACTCCCAAAAGTTTTATTAGACAATGTGCCATGCTTAAAGTATTCACATATCAAATATGAACAAAATCTCTCAACTACTTTTCGGGTTATAGTAAAATATGTTAAAATGGCGGCCATTTTTCAAAATGGCCACCTTCTACCAAAAGTGTCATTAGAAATAGACAGTGTGCCATGTTTTTAGTATTCACATACCAAATATGAACAAAATCGCTCCACTACTTTTCGAGTTATAGTAAAATACGTTAAAATGGCGGCCATTTTTCAAATTTTTTTTCAAAATGGCCGCCTTCTACCAAAAGTGTCATAGGACAGTGTGCCATGCTTATAGTATTCACATACCAAATATGAACAAAATCGCTCCACTACTTTTCGAGTTATAGTAAAATACTTTAAAATGGCGGCCATTTTTCAAAATGGCCGCCTTCAACCAAAAGTGTCTTTAGACAGTGTGCAATGCTTATAGTATTCACATACCAAATATGAACAAAATCGCTCCACTATTTTTTGAGTTACAGCAAAAATCGTAAAATGACGATTAAAGGCCGCCATTTTTCAAGATGGCTGCCATGTGCTTCTTTAATATCTACATTTGTAGCATTATTAATGTCCTTTATAATTTTTTTACATTTAAAACATATTACTATTACAGTTTTACATATTGCACCTAAATTACTGTAAAATCGGCACTAAAATGGCCGCCTTTTGAAATCAGCGGCCATTTTGAAAATCGGCTTACGAGCAGAACTTCTACCCCCATATATGTGTACAAAATATGAACAAAATCGAGCCAACGGTATTTGAGTTATTGCCCGGACGGACGGACGTACGGACGGACAGACGGACAGAGGCATTCCCTATATCCCTCCGAACTTCGTTCGATGGGATAATAATGAATAGTATTACAGTATATCGAAAAATATACAATGATTTACATTAAATTGCGCAGACTGCAAACAATGTACATGGTTGGCGAATTTGCATGCGCGTTCTTGATAATAAGTATTAAAGGTTGAACTTAAAAATCAAACATTTTCTTTTTTAAACATAATAAATCTTTAAATCAAGAAAATAAAAATAAGATTGATGATTGAACTTTTCATAGTCAACTGCGACTGTGTTGACGCATGTTTATTTACTTAGCTAATTAGATATGTAAAATTGTTAATGGCCGCAACGGATAATACGTACATGTAAGCTGTTCGGATAAGACATTTCTATATGATTAATAACAAATCCCGGGCAGAATGTTATTCAACAGTACCTGATCTTGTTAGTTATTATTCAATTTGGATAATAAACCTATTATCTCGTCGTATTGATGTTTATTATATAGTGTTTCTCGTTGTGATAGCATATATCCAATGAATATTATTCATATCAGAACAATAAAGGGAGGGGGCTTCATTTACCAGTCAAATCAGACTGAATTGACCTCTTTCTGGAGAATATTCAATCAGTAATAAAACCAACAATAGCCATCAAAATATGCTTGATACCAATCAATTTAGGTAAAAAATGTTGAATATGTTACTAGATTTGATCTTCCAAGGCAAACAAATAGGAAGGTTGATCAAACTGAATTTTTTAGTCAAGATTGCTTCGACAAAACAAACGAACAGCAAACTAATTGAATATTTACAAAATCTGAGCCCCAGGCTTCAACTTGTACAGTGTAATTCAGAAGAAAATTGGTCATATCAGACATTGACTAGTTTAATGCATTAACTTTGTTGTATGCAACTATGAACTTTACATCAGATAGAACAGTGACTGAACTCTTCTCAGTGAAGTTTTGGTGCATTTTAGAGAAAAAATAAAGATTTTGTGTTCAATAAACAAATGTTCCAATTTTTTTGAACCACCCTGTATACAGGGGAAGTAATTACAACCAGATTTTGATGAAAACGGGTACACAAAGGAATCCCCTGACAACGGTAAAATCAGATACCGTTGTCACAAATGGTGGACATAATCGTCACTTCAACTCTTTAATCACTTGGTCCTTGTTTCATGGGACTTTAACATCGCTAATTCTGTGCGGAGAAACCTACGAATAAAAGCGGAACTTGCATGCTGAGAGTGCTGTTTGAGAACTACCTGTGTCTAAACAACCTCTCACAAACAAAGTAAACAAACCTTCTGCAGCATCAAGCGTTTATATTTCTCCATGATATCAACAGCAGTCCGTGATGGATGGAAGTGGTATGTGTTAAGAATCTGATGCCAGAACTTGCCTAGCTGTTTTACACCATGCTGTAAATTGTCCAGCTCTTGCCCTGTAAATGCAACACGCTGCCTACGGTTTCTATGGATATTTTGTTCGTCATTCAGTGATGGACTGATGCTTCTTGGTCGACAAATAGCCTAAATATACAATATAAGAAACAAGGTTACAACTAAATGACATGACCTGACAATGTATTAGAAAGATTCAAAACTAGAAAAATCTAGAAAACATGTTACAAGTCACATGTTAAAAGTCCATGTGCAGTATGGCAAGTGATTTTAGACAGTTATATCTTTTCCCATAAGTACTTTCTGGGCCTAAATACAGTGGCTTTCTTTCGAGTGAAGTCCACATGATAGAACAATATCAATCCAACTCTCTGAAAAATTATAATTTAGGACCCCACTTTGGCACTTTTTAGCTCACATGGTGAGCAATTGCAATAACTCACTTGTCTGTCTGTCTGTCTGTCTGTCTGTCTGTCTGTCTGTCTGTCTGTCTGTCTGTCTGTCTGTCTGTCTGTCTGTCTGTCTGTCTGTCTGTCTGTCTGTCTGTCTGTCTGTCTGTCTGTCTGTCTGTCTGTCTGTCTGTCTGTCTGTCTGTCTGTCTGTCTGTCTGTCTGTCTGTCTGTCTGTCTGTCTGTCTGTCTGTCTGTCTGTCTGTCTGTCTGTCTGTCTGTCTGTCTGTCTGTCTGTCTGTCTGTCTGTCTGTCTGTCTGTCTGTCTGTCTGTCTGTCTGTCTGTCTGTCTGTCTGTCTGTCTGTCTGTCTGTCTGTCTGTCTGTCTGTCTGTCTGTCTGTCTGTCTGTCTGTCTGTCTGTCAATTTTAAAACCTCTGTCAATAGGATTCCCATTTTAGTTGTATTAAAGGATTTTGTTACAAAAAAATTATTTTCAGCCATTTTAATTATTTTCAGCCATTTTAGAACATTTGTCCATCTGTCTCGCGAAAGCCACTTTTGGACCATTTGCATTAAAACCTCTGTTAACTGGATTCTCGTTTTAAGTTTCTTCAACATTATATGAACAATTTCTGAAAAGGGGATGGGTATTGAAATGTGTTAAAGTTAAAAACCACATATCCCATGTTATTTTCCCATAGGGAAAACTCGTGCTATCCATTGTTTAGACTTTCAATAACATTCTATTTTAGAGGTAGAGATTAAAAGGTGGATTGGATCGAGTGGATTGGATTCATGTAAAAGGTGGATTGGATTGGGAATCATCAAAATGTGGAATTTCTTATAAAAAAATTCTGTTGATCTCCTTCTAGACAATTTCCCTCTAGAGTATTACAGGTCCCTTTTGAGAAATCAGAACAAAGCAATGGAAAAATACATACTCCAATTAGTTCATGGACACTCTTAAGTATTTAACCGCTTTCCCTTGTAAATCAACTTTTGTAAGACATATATCTTTAGAAAAAGAAAACATGTCATTCAAATTAATGTGTGAATGTTCACAAAACATTTCTGGTATGTTCTGTTTGGATTGAAAACAGATGATATGGATCTTCAAACCAGACTGCCTTATGATTTATGAAATGTCTCAAATTACACTTGGAATGAATAAGATTGTGTATCAGAAAGCGGGTACCAGGTCATCCTTCTAGCCCACCCAAGCAAAATAATATTACATCTATTATTTGACATTGTGCAAGTGATGAGAGCACCAATCTTCCTAAAGGGAGATCAATAGAATTTTTTAAAGGAAAATCCATATTTTGAAGATAGCCAATCCAATCCACCTTTTACATGAATCCAATCCACTCGATCCAATCCACCTTTTAATCTTTACCATTTTAGACCCCTTGCTGAATGATCTTTTCATGCAATAAAAATCAGAAAAAAAGAAGATCCTCTTTTGAGTAATAGATTAAACATTTTGAAAAAGATTTTGACATCGGGTCTCTATTTATAATTTTTCGAATTGTTTATTTCAATTTTTATCATCATGTGTACTTCACTTGAAACAAAACATATTGTTATAAGAACCACCATATTTATGCCAAGAAAGTACCATGGTAGGGATAGTCATCACATGACCTTCACAATTGATGGCGTTTGAACAGGGTGTGAGATTTTCTCGTTTAAGCCAGAAAAATGAATATTTTTCATATTTATACTTTGTTAAAAGCATTAAATCTCGCCCAACTTGTGCATCCTATCTCAATCTTTCAAATGAACCTAAATTTACAAGCAGATGATGCATATTTTTTAGATAACTCTATTTTTTGTTTTGAAAAATGATGGTGTCTGGACAGCTCTAAAATTCTGCATGATGGTGTCTGTACAGATTTTTAAAATACACTACTCGGATACAAGTACTCGTGTTTTAATGTGTTATTTAAATATGCTTCCTGCCAATGTGTTGTAGCACTTGAACATGGTAATTTAGAAATTCGGGTTTCCAAATTTATTTTATTTTTTAATTTTCCAAATGCTATTGCTACCTAGAATTGTGATGTTTGTCTATTATCACTGCCATCCATTGGTTGAATTTCCAACACTGGATGATTTGCAAATCATGTGTGGGACAATCTGACCAATCAAAATACAGGATTTCATGATGTCATTGTAGTGATTAAAGTCAATTGCTATGCAAAATTACTGCACATCATTAGGGTCTAGCTTCCACACTGTATAATATCTTATCAAATATAGGCTTTGTTTGAAAAACCTCGTACCTCATACCCACATACCTTCGAATGTGGGTAGTGATACAGTCTTTGAAAGGTTCAATTTTTAAAGCTAACTTAGATGTTCTAATGTACTCATAGTATGTTTATCTTTTATTTTTTAAATAGCGCCATTCAAAGGCTCATTCGATAGGGAAAATCTACGCTAAATATTAGGTTTAAATATATATGGGATTTGCTAAATTGAATTCTGTGCTTCATTTTGTTTAATCACAGCAAGAGTAACGCTGATTTTAGCCTTATGGATCGTAATATTAACAAAACACACGAAAGTGTAATTGTTTGCTCAATTTACCTTTATCCATATAAATGGAAAATAGATGGCATCATGGGTATTGGTAGCGCTATGGTAGGGCTAGAATACATGTAAATATATTGCCAGAGTCACTTAATTTCTTCATATAAGAAATAATTCCATTTGGATAAACTTAAAACACCATAGGAATGTAACTTTATGATCGTATTGACATGTGGATTGTGATTTCACATTAAAATTGTGATCCTTGTAAGAGCAAATAAACTTTTAAAGGTTTTTCAGCATTGTGTCAATGCGGATTTAGCCCGACCTTTTTTAGACAACTAGAAAATCATTAGAATTTGAATAAAGGTAAATAACAGTGCAAATCAAAGTTGTATTGATAAAAAATTACACAGGGAATTTGAACATGCCATCAAATAGAAGAAAATTTTAGTCTTTTATGGTTAAAAATGCAGATCTCCTAAAATCTCATTAAAAACAAGATTTCATCCAAAGCTAAATGGAATGAAGGACCCACGGTCCTGTGCTCACACAGTTTGGAACCTTCAGAGGAACGTATATCCTGACTTTCAAACAAAAATATTGATTTGGATTTGTAGTCTCGACCTTTGAGAAACTTAGATAGCAAAGTTGTGTGACCTAGTTTGATGACCTTTGACCTTGAAAATTTTACTTATTCAGAGCTCAGAAAGGTCTTTTGTGATTAAGCTGACCAAAATTTACATCCAAAAATCAATTTGAAAAATCAACTTTTTTGACCTTTCGAAGGTCACTGAAGGTCAAATCCTAAATATAATGTCAGATTTGAACTCCTGGCAACTTATAATGATTTTCAAAAAAAATTTGGTCAAATTGAAGCAAGTTGAAAAATAACTTATTTTTACTGTTTTTTGACGTCAAATATCTCAAAAACAGTAAAAATTTGATGCTGACATATATTAAGCAATATGTAGGGAATGCTTAAATCTAGCAATGATGTAACTCATTGCAAGAAATGATCAAGTATAAGGCAAACTTTGAGAAACTTGTCAATCACAAAACCCCCCATTGACTTTATACATGAGAAAGTTTCCTGAAAATGACCAAGTCCTACTTTTTGTCAAATTTTATAGAGTAAACACCAAAAACTGTAATTCCCAGAGCTTTGAAATCTTCAGAGGACATAAGCTACATATACAGCAACTACTTAAAGTTATTTGAAAGTTCTACTTCAACAAAGTGTCTAGTATTTACAGAAAATTTGACGTCAAAATCCGCGATTGCTCGGAAACCGGGCGAACTTGGGAAATGGCGATGATAGGTCAAATAGGCATTATGGATATGCATAAAATGAATGTAGATATGACTCAATCCGAATAGCAGTTTTAATTTGTGCCGCCAATGTTGACGGATGGACCAACGGACGGACGGACGCCTGGTCGATCCCATAGACTCACTGTGTGAGCCAAAAAGGACCATTGTGGATGATGATTCCCAATACTCCAATACGCGATAAAGGGATCTTGGAAAGGGGATCTTGGAAATGAGATGGAAAGGTATAGGGGATCTTGGAAATCTATATACAATATTTTTCAGCTCTCTTATACCATATACCATATTTTTTCATCCCTTTTATACCATATACAATATTTTTCACAGCTCTTATACCATAAACTGCTGTTGATTAAAGTCTGGATATTTATAAGGAAATAAAATTAGGAGAGAATCCATGTACAACAGTAATTGAAAAAAAATTGATTCACAATGCACAGTCACCTGAAAAATAATAAGTATTGAAAACAGTTTCGGAAACAAAGGATAATGAGTTGTAAGTTCACTTTAGCGAATGCTTACTTCGCAAAACTTCCATGTAGGCAATTCATTTTTGATGGGACTTTTGATATTAGAATTTGAAGGCAAAATGAAACTTGATTGTTTAAACATTTGAAACAGAGACACTTCAGGGTTTCAGATAACAAAAGTGTACCAAAATTAAGCAAAGGATTGGTATCAATATGAAGAACTGAAATGAACACATGTGACACCAGTCATAAAAAAATTCTGAAAACTTTACACATCGTCAATCTAATGATCATATTTTGAATGATAGCAGTTTAATTTGAAAATATATAGTAGCCTGGCCAGAACAAGTCATGCCTCTCTATTTTCTCAATAACTTTCTCAATTTTGAATATTTTTGTCG